TTTTGTCATTATATTTAAAACAGTATTAATAAATAAAATTTGTACATTGAGATATCATTCGAAGTATTTTGAACTCCATTAAGTATGATAAAAATTCATATTTAAAATAAAAAACCAATTCACCCAAAAATGAAATTGAAAATAATTTTAAACATATGGAAGTACAAGTGTTTTTAGTTGGGTTCAAACTTCTGATCTAATCTAACAACTAATTTGTTTAAGTCTATTATGAAGTTATCGGGTAAAGGTTTATTTTATGTCTAATTATCTATTATACAAATCTGGTTTGACTGATCTAACTAGATTTGATCTAATCTGAGATAGCTCGATATGGTCTCAAATAAAATGAGTCCAACTAAAACCATCTCATATATTATGCAAAATGTTTATAGAACACAATTATATATACATATTACTCCCTCCGTATTCTAAAGTTTGCTACATTTTTCCTTTTGGGATGTATTTAAAAGTTTGCTACACTTTCCACTTTTGGTAAGTTTTTTCCTTTATAAATACCTAACTACCCTTACTTTTTATACTTTTTATCTTATCTTTCCTACTTTTTCACCTTTTCTCCTACCTTTTATACACTATTCATTACCCCTATCATTTCCTCCTTAAATATTGTGCCAAAGGCTATTGTAGTGATCTTTACAATACGGAGGGAGTATATGATTGCACTATGGAGACATGTAAGCATCTATCATCTCATAACAACCATTGATTTTCACACCGGACTCGAGATATTTTTTGTTGCACTGATTTCAAAGGTTCAATTCCAAACTAGACAAAACTAAGAGTATCTTCAATACTACAATGTGCACGTTGCACATGTGGCATGAGAGAGATGAACACAAAAAATTGATTTTATGACATTTCTCTCCGTCTTTCCAAGGTCTTATGTGTTTTTGGTAAGTTTTTCTATGCAATGTTAATCGCAGTGTCTACATTTAGACATTGTGCTTGATATTGTGAAGAAAAAAATTGTCAAAATGATATAAGATCCTTCAAATAAGGAGAGCAATATTTTATTTATTGTTTTTTTATTGGTTATCTCTCATGACACGTATGCACCGTTAATGTATTAGCATAGAGATGCTCTAAACAAGATCAGACATCAAAATATAATAGACAAAAATCTACTAGATCAGTCCAGTTCAGATGAAGTCTAAACAAACCAGGTCGGACCAGCTTAGGTAGGGGTGCAAATGAGCCAAGCCATTGGTGAGCCGCTCGTGGATCACTCGGAAAAAGCTCGACTCGAGTTCGGCATCTTTCAGCTCAACTCGAATACTTAAGAAGCTCGAGTCAAGCCTAATTATTTTAGGCTCGTGGCTCGCGAGCCGGTTCGCGAGCCACGATATATGTATGTATATAGATTTATTATGTATAATAATTATATATATTATGTATAATTATATATATATATAATATTTTTGGAATGTTTATTCTAATTTAGGATTACTCTATTTCTAATGCTTATGATATTATAATAGTAATAATTAAATATAATATTATTTATTATTATAACCATATAATAATCAAGGTTAAATGTAATAATTTAATTTATAATAATACTTATTTATTTTTCAGTAGCTCGTAAAACTCAAGGTTAACAACATATTGAGATCGAAGCTAACACTATCGTGCGTCTAGATCAGTTGGTAATACACGAGGTTAGATGAGTCGCTTTCCACCCGATTTCGAATCGCTCCTTGCTTGGATTTTTTAGCTCGTAAATCTACGGAAAGTGAGGAGAAGCTACCCCTGCTACTCATCTCCTTTAAAACTATCAAGGCATAACACAAGCAGTGCATATGCAAGGTTTGAGAATAAAATCCTTGCAATCTTGTTGCAAAGCTGTCGTCGAACTCCAGATGTAAGTTTTTTAGGCTCGGACGAACTCGAGCCGAGCTAGAGCATTAAGAAAATTCTTTAGCTCCGAGTTTGACCATACGTGAGTTCAGGCTCGGCTCGGCTCGTTTAAACTCCTAGTTCAGGTAGATTAATACCTCCAACTTTGTAATATCTTTTATTTTAAAAATCAAGAGAACTCTATAATTCAAATTGAAAAAGTAGGAGAGAAGATCTAAAATTGAAAAAGTAGGAGAGAAGATTTAAAATTCCTTAAATATGATGGATTATTTTTTATTGAATAAAAATAACCTAATGTCATCGACCACCAAAACTCTCCGTTTGGTATGCTGGGGAAGTAAGGGGCAATAAATCATTAATTATATTAAAGTTAGAAATGCACTCCCTCCGTCCCGAAAACAACTTCCCGGTTGGACTTTCACACACTTTTAGGAAATAAATTTGACTTTACTGTAGAATGCACTGTTTTGCACTGTTAAAACACTGTTTGGCACTGTTTAAACACTGTTTGGCACTGTTTAAACACTGTTTGGCATTGTTTATCACTTTTTTGATGTAGATAATTTGCCAAATAAGGAAAGTATTGAAGTGTGAAGTTAATTTTGGGACATCCATTTAAGGAAAGTGGGAAGTTGTTTTCGGGACGGAGGGAGTAACATTTAGTTCTATTTGAAGAAAATAAAACATGTAATTCGATGCAGATACTTATTTTTTTAAAGGCGAATGCTTATATTAAAATCATATGATCTCACAGTCATACATCATACTTGTCGTCGACCGCCAAAACTCTGCGTTCGGTATGCTGGGGAACGAAGGAGCAATAAATTATTAATTATATTAAAGTTAGAAATTTAACATTTAGTTCTATTTGAAGAAAATAAAACATGTAATTCAGTGTAGATACTTCTTTTTATTTAAGGCAAATGCTTATATTAAAATCATATGATCTCACAGACTCACATTTAGTTCTATTTGAAGAAAATAAAACATGTAATTCAATGCAGATACTTATTTTTTTTAAAGGAGAATGCTTATATTAAAATCATATGATCTCACAGTCATACATCATACTTGTCGTTGACCGCCAAAACTCTGTGTTCGGTATACTGGGGAACTAAGGGCAATAAAGTACTCGTATTAATTATATTAAAGTTAGAAATGTAACATTTAGTTCTATTTGAAGAAAATAAAACATGTAATTCAATGTAGATACTTCTTTTTATTTAAGGCGAATGCTTACATTAAAATCATATGATCTCACAGACTCACAGTCATACATCATACTTGTTACCCACCCCCCACTCCCCACCCCATTGATTCAATATACTCCCTCCGTTCCGCTAAGATTGTCCCATTTTACCTTTTCGGGAAGTCCCACTAAGATTGTCCCATACCAAATTTGGTAAAGATTGTGTGGCTCTAAATCATTCTTAATTTATTCTTACTTTATCAATTTAATATCAAACACACAAAACCACTTTTCTTAATACTCGTGCCACCTTCTTCCGTCCCAATCTTAGTGGGACGGAGGTAGTAACAAATATGTATTTTCTATTCCTGATCAGATATAGAATAATAGATTATCCAAAACTGAACCAGACTAATCGCTAAAGATGCGACAAATTGGAAGTGAATGTCGATCATATTAGCCTTGTTACTTTCTCTCTATCTAATAATCTAAGAACACGAAAAGTTTTCAAAAGAAATAAAATCAAAACTTGAAATAAAATTATAGAAAAAATCCGTTGTCAAAACCAATCTAAATATTCTATATTTCAGTTTTATTTAGTGCATTTTTGTCAAAAATGAATTACTATTATGAGCATGCAGCTCTACAGGTCGTGACTTACTCTTCCATATGGGAGGTCTCATGTTTAATTTTCAATTGAGTGAGATTGATCTCATTTTACCTCATATCCCCCAAAACCGTCGGACACCCCAGGATATAAAAAAATTAAAAAAATTATTAAAAAATGTACTATTATGAGTAGGGTTGTCATTAACCGAGCCGAAATGAACCGGTCCGGGTTTCGGTCCATAGTTTTTCAAGATTTCGGGTTCCGGTCCGGGTCAAACCCAGAAAAAACAGGTCCGGACCGGAATGGACCGGTAACCTATTGTTCCCTAAAATATATACTTCGTTTTGTATAATTAGTAATTATGTTTATGGCTTACTTTTGTCTTTTATAATATAAACGAATATATACGGAGTGTATATTTGGTGTCTAATTATTTTGTAGGTTGTTTTTATTTGTTTATTTATGTGCAGGTGTGCACTACTATGATCTTAGCTTATATTTGTTTGATTTTTCCAAATTGCTTTTTATTTACTCCGTATTTCTTTATTTGCAGGTGTGCATGTAGTTTATACGTAGTATATTCTTGGATGTAATCTAGTTTTTATTAATCTACAATATTTTTTTCCATTTTATTAGTCACAAAAGATTGTAGTTATAATTATTGTTGGAAACTAATTGTTACGATTGAATAGTTTTGATGACTATATTCCAAAATTAATAAATGAGTTAAACAATTATTTAGTCTATTTAGCATATCCGCACATAAAATTATACTCTGTAGTTTGAAACAACAACAACAACATCCAAGCCCTATTCCTAAAAAAATTGGGGTCGCTAAGATCACTCGAAGGTAATATGTTTTTTTTAAACCGGGTCAATTAAGGTGAAAACCGGACCGGACCAGAAAAGTCAAGTCCGAACCGTTCTGGACCGATTAGATTCAGGTCCGGTCTTCGGTCCATAGAAAATGGTGATTCCGGTTCCGGCCCTAACAGATTCCGGTCCGGTTTTGGACGGGTGCATAGCCCTAATTATGAGATCACATTTCTCGTATTTCTCGTGTGACTAGATAAAGGCTCTGTTTGCAAGTGATTGTGCTTAAATAAAAGCACTTTTTGAAAAGAAAAAAAAAAAAGTAATTAGTAGTAAAAGTTGGTAGTGTTTGGTAAAATAAGTGTTTTTTGTGTAATAGAAAAAGTAAAAAGTAGATTCTACACGAAAACGGAGAAAGTAAAAGTTGGTATTGTTTGATAAAATAAACGTTTTTTTCTTTAAAAAAAGCCAAAAGCACTTAAATTAATTGTTTGCCAACAAAGCCCAAAATCCATAAAATCTCCCCTTACTATGTCGGTTGGTCCCAGATACGAAGAAACAAGGGGCAAATAACTGATTCTGCCATCTGATTTACAGATCATCATCAGCTTCTATTACTGTTCCACCGGTGAATCGAACTCTGACCTACCGTTCTCTTTCCGTCCGACTGTTCGAAAATTTGAGATTCCAGTGAGCAACAATCTACCCTCTTTCAACCAGACACCCCCCTTCTTTGTAGGTAAATAAAAACAAACTCTTACACTCTTTTTCTTTCAATTTTATCATATCAATATCAATTTACTAGTGAATCGATCATCTTTGTTCAACTTTCAATTCAAGAATTTACTCCCCAATGCAAAATTTGCTGAAAAGAGAGTGGAGGCTTTGAATTTCCCTAATTAACTTCGTTTTGGGGACTCAAGATTTATTTGGGGTTTGATGGCATTAGTTGGTAGTCTAAAAAAAGATGTTATCTTTATGAGGAAATGTTGAGGTTTGAATTGAAGTATTTCCCTAATTAACTTCGTTTGTCGGAAATCGAAATCGAGATTCATTTGGGTTTTGATGGCATTAGTTGATAGTCTAAAAAAGATGCGATCTTTATGAAGAAAATATTGAGGTTTGATTTGAAGGAGGGATGTATCTCAGAAGCATGGAGGAGTTCTGGGCTTTCTACATGAACCAGCACGCGATGGCAGCAACAAGGCGGTGGCACTTTGCAGGCACACTCTGTAGTATACTGTGGTTAATATACTCGGTGATGTTCAACCGGTGGTGTTTGGTTTTTGTGCCTCTGTTTGGTTATGGTTTCGCGTGGTACAGCCATTTCTTTGTTGAAGGGAATGCTCCTGAAACTTTCAGGCACCCCTTTTTGTCCCTCTTGTGTGATTTCAAGATGTTCGGGTTGATGCTCACTGGTCAGATGGATAGAGAGATTAAGAGGCTTGGTAAGAGGCCTGTCTTGCAAGCTTACTGAGCCTTTTCTTTCAGTTGTCATTTTCTCTTTTGTTCTTTTGATGATTGTTGGACTTGGGAGGATGATATAGGGGGATTTGGTGTGGGGGGAGGGTGACTTTCAATGTTTCTGTTGTATCATTATGTAAGTATATGATGAATTCATGATAGTTGTTGTTCTGTTAATATGATTCTTTAGTTCAAATCTTATGTCCTAACTAAAGGCTGTTGAAAGAGTATACAAGTTGCTAGTTGGTAATTTAGGAAGTGAGATGTTAGAGTTTAGTAGTTTTTAGGAGCTGTTCACATACATGAGTTATTACTTATCAGTAGCAGACTAGTTGGGTTTGAACTTTCTTTGTCAACTTAAAATGAAGCTCGAACTCAATCTCTTTTTTGGAGGTTGTAGTTTTCCCTGGATTGGTTCAAAAGCTTTGGTCGGCATATGACTAATATGAGGCATGTTGTGGGGTTTGTCAGAGCCAATGTGCAAGTTTTCTTCAAAATGGATGTTAGTCAACTAAATTAGTAATATACTTCGTATTTACTTGGACTATTTTCAATCCCAGATCATATCAGATCAGACTTGACAGTTACAAAATACACAAAGACCACATATGTTAGAAATATACGTGTATAAGTGAGCTGGCAATAGTTAGGCACAATTAGTTGGAGTCTTGTTAGACAAGTTGTTATAGACTCAACTGTAATTAGCTAAGCCTATCTTGTATATATACTGGTTATACGCTACTACTCTACTGAATAATGAGAATTCATTCTTCTTCTGCTTAAATTTATAAATATTGGGTGAAGTGACTGAACTGGGTGATTGTGCTGATCTAAGAAAACATTATATTTAAAATATATTTTATCAACAAAGAAAAAATTATATATAAAATAGCTAAAATGGTCTTCTATAGTAACTTCAGCCAATACAACCAGAAAAGTAACTCTAACCTAACTTTTTCTTATTACTTCACATCAGCGTGAAATCAAAAGTGATTTGATTGGTGAAAGAGCTGACTGATAAGTGATAACTCTGATAAGTTGAAAAATAGTGTTGCCAGACGGGCTCTAAATCATTAATAATCCAAACTTGATGACATGATAAAATAATGACATGAATTCAAAATATACATTTTTTAGGTTGTTCTCCCTTATCTGTAGAGCATTCACCATTTCACGGTTTCACCTAGCTAGTATTAAAGGAGACGAGTCATTCAAATGTAACAACTTGGCTCGAACGCCTACTATAGGGCGAAGACTATTTGGTAGCAATGTTTATAGAGTTTTGTTAGGATACACAAAATGTGTACACATGTCTGTCATTCACAGAAATTTTGTCTGTCACAGATAATTCAAATGAATTGTCTGTGACAGACAAAATTTCTGTGCAACCATGCTTGTTGTACCCACCACTTTGTACCCACCTTATACCCACCTCTGTGAAGGCTATTTTTTTGTCTCTGAAGCCGGTTCACAGACAAAATATGTCTTTGAATTCCTTCACAAACATATTTTGTCTATGAAGGAATTCACAGACAAAAAAAAATAACATCACAAACATGGGTGAGTACAAAAGTGGTTATACAAGTGGGTACAAACATCATTTTCCATTTCTATGAAGGACAAACATGTGTACACATTTTGTGTACCTCGAGCATTTTGTGTCACAGAAATTCATATTTATATTGTACCATTACCATATGCATATCACATCCAGTTGACAAAGGGTGTTCTTTTTTAAAAACTACAAGGGAAAATGACTTTAAATAATACAAACTATCTTCCGAGAATTAAGAATAATTTGTACTTTGGAAATAACTTGTACGGAGTAATTAATAATACCAACCGGAGTATTTAATTATAGATCAAAAGTGATATAAAACATGTTTCCACCAAAAACTTAGTCATTTAATTCACCAAAAACTAACATTAAAAATCAAATAAGTGAATGTATTTTCGAATGTCATTTATTTGATGGTTTGTAATTAGTTTTTGATGTCTTAAATGATTGGATTTTTTGTTAAAAAGTAACTCTATATCATTGTTGTTTTACATTCAAATAATTGGTGTTATTAAAAATCATTTTCAAAGTATGTATTGTTATTGGTTGATGAATGATAGTTGATACGGAGTATTATTTAAAGTTATTTTCCCAAAATATAATGATCTTTTACGTCTAAATGTACTTCGTATATTATAAAGTCTGGAAAGTTAGCAGAAAGGTATAATCGTGAATGAATCAAGAATGAACGATTTCATTACGAAACAAGTAAATGCTTGATAAAGTTACAACAGTAGCTGCAGTACTCGAATATAAATTATAGTGTTGTATATTTTGCATTTTTGCCATTGGCTTTTTGAAGAATATGCAACTACTGTCTACAGTCTACTGATATAATTAATTGATTAAAACTCTTTAAACATAATCTTTGAGAAAAACTCAAAAGGCTCAGCAACCACATTATACTTAATATATCGCATAAAATAATGCGAGTAACACTTACCAAAGGAGCTTGTATAGGCATGGATTCAGTCTGGCTGGGAACTGGGTTCGACCCCATTTGGGCTCGGACCGGGTCCCTTTTTTCAGTTTTGAACCTAGGACCCAGAAGGGGTACCCAGTTCCAGTTTACAGTTTTGGACCAAACATGGTTCCAATCCCGATCAGTCCTGCCAGGCGATGTTATTTGTTTCAGACTTCGAACCGAGCAAAAAAAAAACAGAATCCTGTAACCAACCGGCCCAGACGCAAAACTAAGCGGGTCAGACTCGTGCTTCCCCATTTTTTGTAGGGACCAGGCAGTCTCAGCCCGGAACCCAACCAAGTCAGATCCATCCCTAGGCTCATACTCTCTCCGTCCCCTTTTAAATGTCTCGGAAGATAGTGACACGGGTTTTAAGAAAAGTGAGTTTGTATGATTGATATTAATTGATAAAGTAATAATAAAGTAAGAATGATTTTGAGCCACACAAACTTTACCAAATAAGGTATGACACAATTAAATAGGGACGTCCCAGAATGGTAGAACGGGGCATTTAAAAGGGGAGGGAGGGAGTATATATTAATAAAAATATCAACTGATAAATGAGACTTGTATTACTTTTAATTGCTTTCTCATTCCCACTTGTTTACCATTTTGGCTTGACATTTGTATTAGTAAGAGAATAGGACGAAATTTTTTAAATCACAGATTCAAACAAGAAAGTGGGTAGAATGTCCCGGCCTACCGGGACAACGCAATTTACATTAAAAGTGAGGAATCCCCCATTTTAATTGAGCAGTCATCGTATCATTCATAAGATAAGCAGATAAACGAGAAATTTATGGCAATCAATCCTCATTCCTCAGGTGTCTAAATCATTTGTAATGTCATATAGACAGATCTAAAAGGGCTTAATCTCAAAGATCTAAGGTGTTTCAAAGGGCATAATGTCGTATAAAAGATGGACACTTTTATCAAAATGTGAATTGCCGTGTCACATACATCAGAAGATGATAATACTACACCTTTGGCTTCACATTCATCAGTAGTCATTTGCAAGGCTTGTCAAAGCAGCATGATGGGAGGGGCACTGCTTCCTGTAACGTAGGGGTCTTCTGATTTAAGACTTCCAGTCGTATCCATCCCTATCTGTGATCTATTACACTTGTGATTGTGAACAAACTAGGTGCGTCATAAGTCAGTGTTGCGTGAAAATGATGGGAGGGGCACTGCTTCCTGCGGACGAAGAATGACGAGAACCCCAAACATTCCAAGCATCGGAAGCACAAGAAGCCATTTCAAGAGTTTGTAATAGTGCATGTGGAATGTGATGGAAAAGTCATCCCAGAAATAGAGTCCATTCTTGTCGACCATCTCCACCACCACCGTCCCACCAGTCCTAACCCCCACTGTTGGCAGTTTAATTCGTTGTTTCCCAGGACTCCCGAATATCTGGTTGTGCTTTATCGTCCTCTCCCCTTGGTAATTTCCAGGAACCAACAAGCTTACCTGTTTTATTCAAATTAACATCCCACCCCAATATAAGAAAAGAAATGACAAGGAATTTCGCACCGTAACTCACTAAGGCCTTGTTTGGTTCAAAGGAGGGGAGGGAAGGGGAGGATCAAGGAGGGAAGGAAAGGGAAGGGGAAGGAAGGATTTTGATAAAAATTTGTGTTTGGTTGGAGGATATAGGAGGAAAGGATTAATGAAAATATTTTCTCAATTTACTTTTATTTGATAGCTTACTTAAAAAATAGATACATCTCTAACTATTGTAAATATTACTCCTAAGGTCATGAGTCATAATTGTTTTTTTGATTTTTTACTTTTTTCTAATTTTTTTTAATATTTTAATTTTTTAATTTTTATTTTTTTATTTTTTACCTTTTTATATTATAACGTTTTGTCCATTCACATAGGAGATAGATAGTTTGTGGTTATCAACATGTTTCCTCCGAAACACCCCGATTTGGGGGTTTAGAATGGGAGGAAGTGGAGGATTTTGGAAGCCTTCCACTTTCCTCCCCTTCCCCCCTATTTCCTCCAACCAAACACACACAAATCACTCACTTCCCTCCCCTCCCCTCCCCTCCGAAACCCTCCAACCAAACAAGGCCAAAAGCTATGTTTGGTTGAGAAGTGAAATAGAGGGAAAAAATGGGAGTATGAGAAGAAACAAATTATTGATAGTGGTTTTTTATATCAGAGACAATAACTGTATATTACTTTATAAAAGACAAATTATCCCCAAGTTTAAAACAAATGTATCCCTCCATCCTCCAGTAAAGTTCCCCTTTGAATTGCACATTTAGTAAGGCTAGCCAATCTTTGCTTTTGACATTCCATCGTCATTCATACTTGTTACCTTGTGCTCATAAAGTAGTGGTATTGGTGTATTTTTCTTAAAATGCACATTTATGTGAAAAAGAACTTAATTTGGAGACATCCAACTCGTAAAAGCAAAGCGCAACTTTGTTGCGGGACAGAGGATGTGTACATGAGTGAGGATAAAAAGGGAAACAAAAACAAAATAGACATTGTTACCTCCCTTTTTCTCACAGGAGAGGAACTATATAACACCATATAACCCTATAATTTTATTTTAGTTTTTTCATATTACTTTCTTAAACCAATTGAACAACAAAAATTCTTCCCACTACTTTCCCTTCAATTTTTCTTCAAGCAAAAAGGAAA